ACTAAAATGTCTGCTTAGTTTCAACAAGTCTTATTTATTATGTACAGCTATCTACACTGTTACACTGACTCTGTTAGCATTGATGTTCTGGTACCCAATGCAAGTTATGCAAAGTAAATGCCTCCCCTTATAGAATTCCTTCTTAATGACAACAATTTCTGTCTCGATTTTTATACATTATGCAAGCTAGGAGTTTCTTGGATGATGTGGCATTTGTTCTGAACCTTGAAGAATGAGCAAGATTTTGGATGGGTGAAATCAAGAATAGAGATTTTTCAGACAGAAGGAACAGAAAACAGAATGAGGAAAATGCAGAATTTAATTTGAATATAGTGCATTGGTTTGCCTGAAGTATTGAGATGATGAGAACAGATATTGGAGACAAGACTTGATAATACATTAGGTAGAAGATTGTTATAAATGGCAAAGACAATGAGGGACAATCTGATGACAGGGGAAATTCGAAGCCACCTGTGGATATTACAGATAGCAGTGCAGTGACTGGAGGTTTGGGTAATAGTGGATATTCCTTTTCATCAAGGTCTTCTACAGCAAAGTTGCCCCATGAGAAAAAAAAATCACAGTGATCATACTGTGTGTTTGTTTTCTTCTTACCTTCCTTCTTTTGTTTCCCCAGGCAATAGCTTCTAATGATGACCCATTCCCTTTCCCTGTGAATAAGGTTGAAGAGACCGGAGAGACTTCACAAATTTTCAGAATCATAAAATAAATGGTATTGTGCAGGAAGTAAAATATGCCCAAATGCATCCTCTACATTCTAAAGTATATTTTTAACAAGTTGAATTTCAATCATTTCTACTATTATTCAGAATAACAGGAGCAAACTTCATTGAAAAGCCCTTATGGTGTGTGAGGATTTAAGAAAACATATTTGTGAGCATCACATAGAGTGATATAGAGGTCAAGACTTCTGGTATCTAAATCAGTAGTTGCAAGATAGTGGTCTCAGTGGTCCCAGGACTCTCATTAAAATCTTCATGGTTCTGAGCTCCATCTCCAAGAAATGAAGATGACACTACCTTTTATGTATAGGTGACTCTAAATTCAGAGGGGACTGATCACAGCCATTCAAGGGGAAAAGTTGCTTAAACACTTACCCTTGAATGAAGAGATAAGTGAACTGACAGGAAGAACTGCAGAAAGTCGCACCTGTGTTGTGAGACTGTACATTATTCCAGCTTAAGTACTTCATGATTTTAAGAAACTGGAAGGTAATTCTCCTTCTTTAGAAGGTAGGAATTTTAGAGTTTGGGTTTTTGTTTTGTTTTGTTTTACTTTTTACAATGTACATAATTTCATTCTATATGTTCTAATAATCAAGTATCTGTGGGTGTTTATAGCCTGTTAGAAATTGAAGTATCTTGAATATTCTACTACTATTCTTCAGTAGTATTGAAGAAACTACGAGCACAGACAGATGAAAATTAAGAATGTTGTCTGTTTCTTATTCTTGGTAAAGAGAGAACCCAGAAAACTGCGTGAGGAGGGCTTTGAAGAACAAAAAACAGAGACCAGGATGGCAAACTCAAGGCAAAAGCCAGGCATAGAAAGAGGGTAAGATTTGGGCAAACCAAACAGAAAGGCTGACACAATGTTAGGGGCATCTTGTTCACCAGAAGCTGCCAGGGTCATTGGGAAGGAAGCAGGTAATGTCATATGGACATACCTTTTGTCATTACTATACTTAAATAATGAAGAAAGCAGACTTTACCATCAACATATATGAAAAGTATCACAAAAGTCAAATGCTCCCAACCACCATCACTGAGAAAGATTGTGCAAACTATACATATCCTGATATCCTGGAGATTTTCTTCTTGAAGATATTTGCCAAGAACTTGTGGGGTATATGTATGTGGAAATATATTCTTTGAAAAAGCTCTCCCAGTGACTCTAATATGACCATTTATAAGTCAAGCATGATTTAATACTGTAGTAAATAAGGGGAGTGTCTAGAATGTAAAAATAATAGTTTCTTTCTCCTAGGCTCTAAGAAACCATGGTTGAAGTTTTCAGAACTTGTTTGTTTGTTTTTGATGTTATTCAACATTCATAAGTGCAATTAAGCAAGCATTTAGAAAGCACCTATTGCATTCACATTGCTAGGCGACAAGATACTTAAAATTCACTTAGAAAGCAGCCAACTCTCTTTAGTGCATGTCTAAATAAAATAAATGCAAAAGAGCTCAAGCAATGTATTGGAGGAATTAATAAATGAATTGAAGTAATAATCACTGAATAATCATGGAAGACTTTCTGGAGAATATGAGATCCTGTTTTATCCTATAGCCATCGAACTGACCTTAATCAAAGCCGACATTGTGCTCAGCTTAGGCTAAAAGTTGGGGGAGACAAAATTTTACACTGTTCTTTGTCCTGTCTAGTACAGAAGCCAAGCTTGTAAAAAATGTCTTATTACAATAAAATGGTATCTAAATCTAAAAGGTGAATAACATAGCTAGGCAAATTTAGAGAGTCTTCTGAGAAGTGATAAATTGTCATTTTGAGAAAGCTATGTTTTTAGGAGGCAGAGAAGGGCAGGAAATACATTGCAACTTAGAGAAAATAACATGGATATAGTAGAAGAGCCCTAAAAGGACATGCTATATTTGAGAAATAGTGGGATGTTTCTTTTGTAGGAGAACTTGGCTGTAGGAAATGAGGATGGACAGGTAAGATCTTGAAGCCATGCTAGGTGGAATTCCCCTCAGAATCAGCTAGCTAAACATGTAGTTCTCTAGACTCTCACTGCCTTGCTGTAAATATGCCATGCACATACATTTACCACCTATCTCACTTTTGGCAAATCAGGTACCTCTCTAAGCCACAATTTCCTAATTGCAAATAAGATCATTGTAATAATACTTATATCTTAGGGTAGCTATGAGTATATACAAGACTATGAAACCAAAACATATAATAAAGAGTATAAGTTATTAGTATTATCTAGCTTGTAAGCAAAAGGGGTCCAAAAGACATCTATAATGAGGAGACATAGCGTGGTCACAGGTGTGACATAAATAAGCTGGCAGTAGGTGAAGGATAGAACTGGGAGAAGGAGATACCATATTCACCCTATGGGACAGATATAGGGCAACTGCAGAGGGACTAAAAAAGAAGGTTAAGATGTTGGAAAACAGATATCTAGAATTTTGGAAGTAACTCATTGGGGTGAAAGATGTGGAAGGAATAAGAAACGCAGCCTAATGGTAACTCTACAATGTCTGTAAATAACTCAGAGAGGAAACACAGGAAGGAAACCCGATATGTAAGGGAATATGGCCAATTTTGCTCTGAACATCTGTATTCAATACTTGGAGGACATTCTGGAATTGGAGATGTCCCAGAAGAAATTGGAGATCCTTTTTTGATAGAGGCTGAAATTGGAGAGTCATACAAAGTGAGTGGTTCTGAAACAATAGAAATGGGAAAGACTTTCCTTTAGAGGTAAATCATCTGAGAAACCTTCAGAGGAAAGAGTCTGTTGGGGAGTAGACTAAAAAATAAATGATATGAGTCTTGATTGAAGAATGCTTGGGTATATTTGTTTTCTACCTAAGGGTCTTTGTGTTATCTGTGCCTTGTACCTGCAGTATCTCCCCCTGATCATCACATAGTTTACATATTGTTATTCTATTCTCCATTTAAGTGCATCACCTCCTCAGAGAGGGCTTTCAAATTCCACAAACGACAGTACTTATGCACTCTCACATCACAGAGATCCTACATGTCTGGTTCCATGTTGTGCTTCCTATGGATACAATTGCTGGACACATCATTGGCATCTAGTCAGTATATATGGAATAAATTCATGGACTTTGATAGTCGTGTTACCACTCCATACCTTACTTTCACATTTTGTAAAATAAAAATAAAAATTCTACACATAGCCTTGTAAGAATTACATGAGACAGTTCTGTCTAATCCTAGCATCTTGTATAATACATTATTGGTATTGAGTAGGTGCTGGTTACCTGCTCTGACTCTTCTTGTATTCCTTACCTACAAATGCAATGCACATAGAAGACAGTAACTCCTCAACTAACAATATAATTGTTTTGTTTTTTGTCTTATTTTGTCATTAGTCTTGATGAATCTTTCAAAATAATTTCAGCCAGTATTTCTTTTTTCTCTCCCAGCCCTTCATTCTCATACCTGCTTCCTCATTTCTTTCCCTCCACCTTTAACCATGACTGAAATTAAAATGAAAATTCTATGAAGAGTCTTCATATCATTTTTCTGCCCTCATGTCCTAAGCAGATTGTATGTTGAACAATCAAAATAGAAATATTACTGGCAAAATTTATCTGAGGAACTTGATTTAATTCTTTTCAGGCTTGTTGCAAAGCAAACTACCTAAGTACATTAGTTGGCAGGTGTTCTGGAGGTTCTGCTAAAAACACAAAAATTGATCAGAATACACCATTCCGGAATGAGCCAGTATCTTCAAAATTATATTAAATTTAAGTTAGTCCATTTTATTATATTAGACACTTCAAAAAGATGTTCAAAGAACTTCAAAGAGACATTAAGAACTTAAAAATTAATGATATGTCTTAAGAACTATTGTAATAAGAAAAATTGATGTTGTATGTCTCAACCTTTAATTATTACCACATATAGAAACCCAGAATATACAACATGTTAAACTGATTTGTCTGCTCTAGTTGTTGACACAAATGTCACCCTCAGAACCACTACTCTGTGGAGAGCACTGATGAAGATAGGATTGCATTGAAAGAAATGTGAATGTTATTTTGGAAATATTCGCTGATCTCTCAGAATTTTCTAAGTGTTTTAGTAATTTTAAATGATGGAATTATTTTATTCATTCAATCAATAGTTTATTTTAAGCACCCCTGAGTGCTAGGGTACCACTAAATCACAAAAAGCATTTGACAAATATAACATCTCAAAATCCAGTAAGTGAGATCAAAAAACTTTCATTCATTATTTTGTGTCTTCCTTGCAGATCCAGAATGGAGAAAAGAGAGATAAACAGTGCTTTTGGGGTAAAATCCAGGTATAGGTATTTGGGCCCACTCATCTACACAGATTCTCATATTAGAATCATTCTTCTCTTAACTCAGGCTCCTGACCTTGACCTCTTTCCAGGTGCATTTAACTCCCTTTCCTCGGGTTCTCTAAGAGTTACCTGACACTTGCTCAGGTCCCCTGAATAAAATAAAGGTAAATCAGTGCATAAGGAGCTTTATACAGTGATCTCAGACTTGTGACCAACAGCCCCTCTGCACCATTGATAGACAGTGGTCATGCCCACCAGGAGGATGGGCAATCACACTGCAGTGAGCATATTCATTCTGTGGGGATTTTCCAGTTTTTCAGACCTGCAGAGTCTACTTTTTGTGGTGATTCTCTTCTCCCATATGACCATCCTAACTGCAAATGTGTCCATAATGGGGGCCATCAAGCTCAGCCACAACCTTCACACTCCCATGTACTTTTTCCTCTGTGGCCTGTCCTTTTCAGAAACCTGTACCACTGTGGTAGTCATGCCTCGCATGTTGGTGGACTTGCTGTCAGAGAGCAAGACCATTTCTCTTCCTGAGTGTGCCACACAGATGTTTTCCTTTCTGGGCTTTGCATCCAACAACCGTTTCATCATGGCCGCTATGTCCTATGTCCGCTACACGGCCATCCACAGCCCACTGCAGTACCACCCCCTTATGACAAGAAAGATCTGCTTGCAGAAGATGATGGCTTCTTGGATGGTTGGGTTCCTGCTTTCTCTGTGCATCACCATCACTGTATTCAACTTGTCTTTTTGCGACTTGAACACTATCCGGCACTATTTCTCACCAGTGGTCTCCCTTGCTTGTAATTACACTTCCGATTATGAAATGGCTATTTTTGTACTCTCTGCCTGTGTGTTGATGGGCAGCTTTATTTTAATTATGATTTCCTTTGTCTTCATTGTGTTCATAGTCACAAAGATGCCCTCTGCAAAGAGGAGGTTTAAGGCCTTCTCAGCTTGCTCCTCCCACCTCACTGTTGTGTCCATACACTATGGATTTGCTTGCTTTGTCTATTTGAGGCCCAAGAACAGCAACTCCTTCCATGAAGACATGCTGACGGCCGTGACATACACAATACTGACGCCTCTGCTTAACCCCATCGTGTACGGTCTGAGAAACAAAGAAATGCAGATAGCCCTAAGAAAAACACAAGGCAATGTAATTGGGGTTTTCCCTCAGAAGACAAAAAATGAGCCCTGACCATTTAAAAAAATTACATAGCCTTGATAAATAAAGGTGGGAAAAGCGGAGTACTTCCAATTAATATCACTTTGTGCACAAACTGGTTAAAGTATTGTCTAACTGCCTAATATGTCTTGGTCTCACCGTTTTCCTACTACAGAGAGGGTGCAGTTTTAAAATATTTTTAAATGTTGTGTGTGTGTTTGTGTGTATGTGAGTATGTGTGTATGTACACATATTCATTCAGGGAACGTATTGCTTTGGAACACTGTATTTTAATGATAGCAGTTGCTTTTTGGGAAGAAAAAAAATTATGATACTAAAGAAAGAAGGACAGCAAGGAAGAAAGAAAGAATGTAAGGAAGGGAGGGAGGAAGGGAGGAAGGAAGGGAGGAGGGGAGGAAGGGAGGAAAGGAGGAAGGGAGGAAGAAAAAGAAAAAAATGGAGCTGACTAGTATAATTAATCCAAAAAGAGGGAGAAAGTACAAACACAAAAAGTTGAAATTGAAAATAAGGATATGATTAAAATAGAGAAAATTAAAAGCAATTTAAGAGAATACTTTGTTCAAATTTAATCAAACAAATTTGAAAATTAGAAAAAAAATCATGAATGCATCTATGGAAAAAATAAGCTTATAAAGTGACCCCAAAAGCAATAGACATTTTTTGACATACCAATTTCCATGGAAATTTTTGAGAAATCTGTCAAAGAGATGTTTTCCTATTCTCTCCCACAAAGCATTAGAGCAGATAGTTTAATAATTAATTTGTTTAAATTCTTAAGGAACAAATAATTCAAATGTTATTTAAATTGATTTAGAGCATAAAAATACACGGCTTCTAATTTGTGAACCTCACAGTGGTGGGAAGTGTTATTACTGCTGACAGATCATGGCTCTGGTAGGGAAGTTCTGAAGTGGAGTGTGGAAGATTAGATGATGTATGCTGGTGAAGGAATTTTGAGGTTACATTGTTCACATGGTTATAGGGAGTGTGAAGTAACATATTATTCTTGATTTGAATTATATTTTCCTAATGACAAATGACATCAAGGATCTTTTAAATACTTATTAATCACTTATATGTCTAATTCAGAGAAATATTCAAATTCTCTGTCCACTTTTAATTGGGGTATTTGTATTGAATTTAGATTGTTTAAATGATTCTAGATAACATCCTTGATCAGACATACTATGTGCAAATATTTCCTTCCATTCTGTAGGTTGTTTCTTCCCTTTCTTTATAGTTTCCTTTGAAGCAAAAAAGTTTTTAACTCTAATGTGGTGGAATTTATCTTTCTTTCTTTCTTTTTTTTTTTTTTTTTTTGATCATGCTTTTGATGTCATAGCTAAGAATCTATTGCTTAATCCAAGATCATGAAGACTTTCTCCTCTTTCTTCTAAGAGTTTTGTAGTATTAAATCTTACATTTAGGTCTTCAGTCCGTTTGAATTAACTTTTGTACGTGGGTTAAGATAAGGGTCCAACTTTATTCTTTTACATGTGGATATTCAAATGACCCAGCACCATTTATTGAAAGGATTATTCATTACCCCACTGAATATTCTTGGCACCCTTATAGACAACCTGTTAACCATAGACACATGGGTTTATTTCTGACCTCAGTGCTATTCCATTGATCTATATGTCTTTCCTTTTACCAGTAAACACTGTCTTGATTGGTGTTGTTTGTTGTTGCTGTGTGTTTTTGAAACAGGGTCTCACTCCATTGCCCAGACTGGAGTGCAGTGGCACAATGGGTCACTGCAACATCTGCCTCTTGGGTTCAAACAATTCTCCTGCCACAGCCTCCTGAGTAGCTGGGATTACAGGCACCCGCTACCACGCCCGGCTAATTTTTGTGTTTTTAGTCAAGATGGGGTTTCACTATGTTGGCCAGGCTGGTCTTGAACTCCTGATCTCAAGTGAAACACTCACCTTGGCCTCCCAAAGGGCTGGGATTACAGGCATGAGCCACCATGCCTGGCCTTGATTAGTATTGCTTTATACTAATTGGGAAGTGTGAATTCTCCAAGTTTGTTCTTGTTTTTCAAGATTCTTTTGGCTATTTTGGGTCACTTGCATTTCTATATACATTTTATAATCTTGTCAATTTCCATAAAGAAACCATCTGGGACTTTGATAGGGATTTTGTCTAATCTGCAGATAAATTTGGGGAGTATTTCCATCTTAATAATATTAAGACTTCCAATTAATGAGCATAAGGCTTTTTCACTCATTAGGTTTTATTTCATTCCTATCAGCATTAAAAAATTGATATTGCTGTAAATGGAATTGTGTTCTTAATTTCATTTTTATATTTTGCATTACTAATGCAAGGAAATACCACTGACTTGTTATATTTATCCTATATCCTACAAGTTGTCTGGACTCATTTATTCATCCCTATAATTTTAATGGGTTTCTATATTTTTATATATGTTTATGTTTTCTATATATTTATGTTTTCTATGAAATCATGTCATCTGCAAATACAGTTTTACTTCTACTTTTTCAATCTGGATGCCTTTTATTTCTTGTTATTGCTAATTGCCTTGCTTCCTCCACTGCAATGTTGACTAGAAGTGGCAAGAACAGACATTCTTGTCTTGTTCCTCATACCTGGGAAAAGCATCTAGTCTTTGGCTATTAAGTATGAAATTAGCTATGGGTCTGTTCAGGATTTTGTCAGGTTTAAACTATCTCTGTTTACTGATTACATGATCTTATACATAGAAAACCCTAAAGATTCCTCCAAAAGACCCTAGACTTGATAAACAACTTCAGTAAAGTTTCAATACAAACTGATGTACAAAAATCAGTTGAATTTCTATATACCAATGACACTCAAGCTTAGAACCAAATCAAGAACTCAATCTCATTTACAACAGCCACAAAAGATTAAAATACCTAACAATACAACTAACCAAGGAGGCAAAAGACCTCTACAAAGAGAACTACAAAACACCGATGAAGGAAATTGTAGGTGACACAAACAAATAAAAAAATCCCATACTCATGGATTGGAAGAACCAACATCATTAAAATGACCATGTTGCCCAAAGCAATCCTCAGGTTCAATGTAATTTTTATGAAATTGTCAGTGTAGTATTTCACAGAATTAGAAAAAAACAATGCTAAAATTCATATGAGACCAAAAAAAAAAAAAAAAAAAAAGCCCAAATAGCCAAAGCAATCCTAAGCAAAGTAATATAGCTGGAAGTATCCCATTACCTCACTTCAAAGTATACTACAAGGCTATAATAACCAAATCATCATGGTACAAAAATAGACCCATAGATCAATGAAACAAAATAGAGAACCCAGAAATAAAATCACACACATACAACCACCTGATCTTCGACAAAGTCAACAAAAATTAACAATGGGAAAAGTATACCTTAATTAATAAATGGTGCTGGGAAAAATGGCCAGCCATCTGCAGAAAGATGAAACTAGACCCCTATTTCTCACCATATACAAAAATTAACTCAAGATGGATTAAATACTTAAATGTAAGACATGAAGCTATAAAAACTCTAGAAGAAAACCTAGGAAAAACTCTTCTGGACATTGGCCTCGGCAAATAATTTGTAACTAAGACCACAAAAGCAAATGCAACAAAAACAAGAATAGACAAATGGGACTTAATTAAAGGGCTTCTGTACAGCAAAATAAATAATCAACAGGGTAAACAGACAACCTCGAGATGGGAGAAAATATTTGTGAACTATGCATCTAACAAAGGACAAATATCCAGAATCTGTAAGGAACTCAAATCAACAACAAAAAAACAGGTAGCCTCATTGAAAAGTGGGTGAAGGACATGAGCAGACATTTCTAAAAAGAAGACATGCACATGGCCAACAAGCATATGAAAAAATGCTCGACATCATTAATCATTAAAGAAATGCAAATCAAAAATACAAAGAGATACCATCTCACTCCAGTTAGAATGGCTGTAATTAAAAAGTCAAAACATAACAGATGTTGATGAGGATGCAGAGAAAAAGAGAATGCTTATACACCATTGATGAGAATGTAAGTTATACAACTGCTAAGGGAAACAGTAGGGAGATTTCTCAAAGAAATAAAAACAGAATTACTATTTGGCCCAGCAATCCCATGACTGAGCATCTACCTAAAGGAAAAGAAATCATTATAACAAAAGACCACTGAGCTTGTTTGTTTATTGCAGCACTATTCACAATAGCAAAGTCATGGAATTAACCCAAGTGTCTATCAACAGGTGATTGGATAAAGAAAATGTGATATATATAATATATATATAATATATATATAATTTATATATATATATACACACACAGCATAGAATACTACCCAGCCATAAAAAATATGAAAGCACATCTTTTGCAGCAACAAGGATGAAGCTGGAGGACATTATTTTAAGTGAAATACCTCAGAAATGGAAAATCAAATAATGCATATCCTTATTTATAAGTAGGAGCTAAACAATGGGTACATTTAGGCATAAACATGGAAATAACAGATACTGGGGACTCCAAAAGGTATTAGGTCTAAAAAAATTATCTATTGGATACAGTGTTCACTGTCGGGTGATGGGTTCCCTAGAAACCCAAACTTCACCATTATGCAATATACCTAGGTAATAAACCTGCACATGTACCCCATGAATCTAAAATAAATTGAAAAATTTTTTAAAAAGAGAGCAGGGTTGACCATACTTATATCAGACTTTGGGTCAGAAACTGTTACAAGAGTCAAAGGAGGTCCTTATATAATAATAAAAGGTCCAATGTATCAGGAAGATATAACAATTTTAAATGCATGCACACAATATCAGAGCACCTAAAATATAAATTAATAAAATAATAGTAGAAGAAGACTTTAACGGGCACCTTCAATAATGGATAGAATACCTAGACAGAAAATCAATAAGGAGACAGGAGGCTTGAACAACACTATAGAGCAAATTTTCCTAACAGACATACAAAACATTCCAAACAACAGCATCAAAAATTCATATTTTTCTCAAGT